AAACGATACTGAGACTCTGTGAACTTACTTAGTTGCATTTGTTCGGTAATGTTACAAAGAGAATGTTTTGTGGCCAGAAAGCGTAATAACCTTCCTTGCTTCTAATTTGGGTGAACTTTGTACATGGTGGCGGTGTCTGCTGAGGGTTAGACTGGGAGATGAGGCTTTGGGGTGACAGGTGGCACTGACAGTAGCGGGGGAGGGAGATACGGCCAGACATGCACCATGGGGTTTGTTCTAATCTGCCCCCCACTGTGGCATCACGTCACTCTTCCCACATCCTGCCTCCCTGACACTACTAGGACACTCCTCAGAGACATAACGCCCTCCGGTATGGCCGCTTTTATAGGTCCCTGCATTCATTAGTTCAGTTTTGAGATGGAATGGTGGTTTGAGAGATGCTGCTTTTGTTAAGACCAAGAATTGTATCGAGGTGGTATGTTTAAGGATGTGAACGTATATGTGAATGTGTTTTTGTGTTTTTATGTACGACGTAATCTATCTGGCCGCAGAGCTGTCATCTGGAGCACCAGGTGTCAGTGACGAACAGCCCACCCCTCCTCTCTCTCATCAGTGGAGGCTGATGGTCCTACAAACTTCTTGCTGAGGTCAACCCGAGTTGTTCGGATTGTACAAATGCCCAAATTTGAATAGTGTTCGAATTGTGCTGGATATATTTCACATATTATTTATTTTAAAGTCATCCTGAAATCAGAATTAACCCCATTTGCTTAATTCACATTCCTGGTCTTAAATTATCAGTGCATGCTATTTCATAGAATTTTTTTTTAGAATTTACTATAAGGTTCAGTTTGTCAACATTATTTAATGCATTTGGTAATGAACTACAACAATTTTACAGCACTTAGTAATCTAGTTTAATGTCGATTCGTGAAAATATTATTGTTTATTGTTATTAATGTTTGTATACGTTAAAGATACATCAGTATATGTAGAAATTTACATTAACCAACCACCACATACACTACCATTCAAAAGTTTGGGGTCAGTAACATTTTGTCGTATTTTGAAAGAAGCACATATTTGATCAAAAATACAGTAAAAATCATAATATTGCAAAAGAATATTAGTAGTTTAATATAACTGTTTTCTATTTGAAAATTTAAAAACTGTAATTCATTCCTGTGATGGCAAAGCTGAATTTTCAGCATTCAGGCATTACTCCAGTCACAGTGTTCAGTGTCACATGATCCTTTAAACATCATTCTAATACGCTGATTTGCTGCTTAAGAAACATTTATTATTATCCATGTTTAAGTTGTGCTACATAATATTTTTGTGAAAACCTTTGTGTAGAATACAGTTTTTTCATGATTTAAATTTTTTTTTATGAATAGAAAATTCAAAAGAATAGCATTTATTTGAAATAGAAATATTTTGCAACATTAAAAGAATAAATAAATGTCTTTACTGTCACTTTTACCGTTTTAGGAAAAAAAGGTACCTTAACTTACCCCAAACATTTAAGTGTATCGCAGTTTCATTACATCTACATTCTAAAATATATTCTAACATAAAACAGCCCTTTAATAATATTTCACTATATTACTGTTTTTACTGCATTTTGATTAAATAAATACAGGCTCGGTGAGCATAAGAGACTTCTTTCAAAAACATGAAAAAAGACAGGTAGTGTAATTAATAAAAGATTTCCACAAACAAAGCAAATCTGGTGCAAATAAAAAGGTCAAATATTGTACATCCTGAAATATATATAGTTTCAATTTAATTAGAGTTTGACATGAATTGATCTGTTGTGACTCTTGCTTGTCTATCAGAACGGAAATACAGTTACAACCTGTTCATTTGTGTCTCCAGTTATTATATATAGTTTTTTTCTTTTCACACTCCTCATGTTTGATGTTTCTGTGCCTAATATGTATTAGGCTCTTTTTTAGATAAGAAGGGGACAAACGATTAATTTAGTTTGAAGGTACTCATGTTTCCTTTCAACTGACATCTGCTATATTCACAGGGATTTTAGATTTGTCCATTTGATGTCTTCCACATAAATAAAACCTTTAAATCAATTTTTTATAATTTTTTTGGTTGTTGTTTTGTTTGCTGATTACAGACTCATTGACACACCATCCGTAAGAATAATAATGGCAGGGTGATGCTGTGTCACTAACGTTTCAGTCATTAAAAATGGTTGAATAAATCCATGCCACGTCTGCTCCCCCAGCTGTCCAGTCAGTGTGGAGTCAAACAAGGTCACGTCTGATGGAGTCTCGGGGAGCCCCTGTGATTAAAATGTGTCTAAAACATAAAGCGCTGCCGGTTTATGGTTTCTTAAATAGATGTTAATTCGAGTGCCTATCATGATGGGAATAGTTTTGCACTAAGAGTCTGAGAAGCACCTGCTGTTTTATTGCTACTAGACAGAGTTGAAACAGCGCAGTGGAAACCAAACAGAGCACAACACATCAATTCATATTTCTTTTTCGAATTTGTGAATACAAGTTAAATGGATATATGTTGCATATTGTTGGCTACAGATTAATGCCACGTTAAAGTCTGATTGTTTAGGTTTTGTAGACGAGGTCATCATACTGTATATAATACATATTGTAATACAGTAACATTGATTGATATTTCTCTTTTGAGAGTGAAGTTGTTAGTTACTAGATGTTGTGCTAAAAATTACCCAACACTAGAGCCTTTTAGTTAGTTTTGTTTGCTAAATAAATAGAAAAGGGTATTCAATTATTTATAATTTTTTTGCAATTTTCTGTACACTTTTGTACACATAACCACCTCAAAACATACAAAGTAATCTAAAAATCAGGACTCCAGTTAACCAGTGTTATGCTTTTGGTTGTATTGGCACTGCTTTTAACAGAATTTATGCTTTATACTAAAATGGCAATTGAGTTGACATTTACACTTCTGCATACCCAGCAAAAACTTTGTGACCTGGATCTTGGCTTGCATGAAGCTTGTTGGTTACCACCAAAACACTCTAGCTGGTTAAGTAGGTTAAGCAACCTGGTGGGGACACCAGTACACCAGCACTGCATGGTGATCACCAAAATACAAGTATGTTGTGCTTTAAATGCTTGTGAACTGTTGTCCCCACCAGATTTATTAACTAGCTTAACCAGCAGACTTACCTCATCGGTCAGTGTCACACAGTCCGGCTTTAACAATACAGTTTTGCCATTTTAACTATTTAGAATTTCATGATCTTATTCATGGTCCTGAGATGCTATCTATCAGCATGTGGGTCTTAACTAACTTAACCAGAAAGACTAACTTGGTCAGCTGGCTTTATCAGTAAGGTTTTGCTGTTTAAACCTCTTATCATCTGATCAACATTAATTACAAAATAGAACCAACGTGTTACCATGGGAGTCTTAATTAGCAAGACTAACTTGGTCAACCAGCTTCTTGCAGACTGACCAGTTTCACCAGTAAAGTTTTGTCAGTTAGACCACTTAGCATCTCATCACCATTAATTAGAACATGAAATCATATCCATCAGCATGGAATTCTTAACCAACTTAACCAGCAAGACTAAAGCCGGGCTCACACTACAGGATTTTTGGCTGGATTTTGCTGTCACAGACAGATTTCCACAGTCTGCAACAAAACCCCCGGATTGTGACCAAATAAGTGTTCGTTGCGGTCGTCGAAGCTCGTTAAGTATGAGCAGGTCAGCAACGTGATCCGAACCTGTCTCAAGCTATCACAGACGCTACGATATTTTCAAACATGTTTGATATTATCGCCACGTGATCTCGTAATGTGAGCGACACAATGGCAAGGTGGAACTAATCCAGCCAATCACAGTACAGATGGTATAAACACTCTTATCATGCATCTTTATGAACAGACACGAAAAGCCACAAATTAATCAAATCAACTAACTAGAAATAAATGTAACAAATGCATAGATTTTGTATATAATACCACGTTTCATTGTACTGTTTAATTACCTCCAACTCTTTCTGGAGTACTGACAGTCCTTGTTGTCCACGTATTCCAAGTCATTGTTTCTGCCATATTCTCTTTTGTCGTGGTTTCTTCTTTCTTTCGGATAAAATAACTGCACAGACCAATTGAAGGGCCAGTTGATCGTCCATGCTTGAAGATATGGCCTATAATCGCTGTAATTTCTCGCAAGAATTTATGTGAGAAAACGTAGGCTATTTTCACTGATGGTCGGGAACGCCTCTTCACTGAATGTTTTGTAGTGTGTGCACCTCATTAGCGTTGTGTTGTGTAGTATGCGTGCAGCTATGACAAGACAACGACAGATGAGAACAAATCTTGTTGCGTAGTGTGAGCAACACAGTGATTCGGCTAGTCTTTCAATCCTGTAGTGTGAGCCCGGCTTAACTTGGTCAACCAGCATCATGTAGGCCAACCAGTTTCACTAGTAATGTTTTGCTATTTTGACTGCATAACATCTCATCACTATTAATTAAAACATGTAATACTATTTATAAGTATTGAACACTTAACTAGCTTAACCAACAAGACTATTTTGGTCCACCAGCGTCATGCAGACTGATTAGTTTGACCAGTAAACTTTTACTGTTTAGACTTCATAACATTTCATCACCATTAATTAGAACATGGAATCCTATCCATAAGCACTTGATTCTTAACTAGCTTAACCAACAAGACTATTTTGGTCCATCAGCTTCATGCAGACGGATTAGTTTGACCAGTAAAGTTTTGCTGTTTAGACTACTTATCTCATCATCACCCTTAATTACAACATAGAATCCTATCTGTCAGCATGGGATTCTTAACCAACTTAACCAGCATGACTAACCTGGTCAGCAAGCTCCAAGAAGGATGACTAGTATCTCCAGTAAAGTTTTATTATTTAGACTGCTTAGTATCTCATCACCATTAACTAGAACATGTAGTCCCATCTATAAGCATGGGATTTTTGACTAGTTTACCCAGCAAGTCTAACTTGGTCAGCCAGCTTCTTGCAGTCTAACCTATCCTAGCACATTTTGCAGGGCTAACTGAAGCCTGCACTTGCACTGAACTTATATTCAAGTTTGTGTTTGACAGGTGTATTGTATTGGTGTGTATATGGTAAAGTAACAGGGTGTGTGTGTGTGTGTGTGAGTGTGTGTGTTTAAGAGAGAGGGTACAGGCAGGGAGTGATCTTGCAGTACTGGGTGTTTTGCAGCTTTCACGGTGCATTGCTGGCATCTCAGAGAGAGCCATAAAAACAGAGGGGAGTGTGAGGGGGGAGGTAGCGTGCAGACCGTCAAGGCCTTTGCCACCTCACACCTCACTGACTGGAGATGTGGGGAATTATTTTAGGAAGCCTGCATCTGAATGGAAATAAAAGAAGCACGGGAGAATTAGGAGCGTGAGGCTCGCCGGACTGATGCTCACGTTCATGCCAAGATCTCAGAACCCTGCTTGCATGTGGCTGCATGACTGATTGTTCGTTTATTTTAGCTGTGTTAATGCGCGTAAATGAGTTTGCATGTTAGCATTTGTTAGCATAAGTATCTGTGAGGCAAATTGCGAGGAACTGTCTGTTTACATTTCACTCTTACATTAAAGGGATAGTTCACCCAAAAATGAAAATTCTGTCATTAATTACTCACCCTCATGTCATTCCAAACCTGTAAGACCTCCGTTCATCTTCGGAACACAAATTAAGATATTTTTGATGGAATCTCAGTATCCACTGAACATAAATAGCGTATGCAGTTCCA